AAGTTTAATGTATGTTGGAGAAAATAATCGATCAATTAATAATAAACGCTGAAATAGAATGTATTATTAGTAACAACATTATATATGCTGTCATCTTATTACAATTATTGCATAAATTAATCAAAGTGATCACTTGCAACAAGTGATAATTATTACAAACCAGTAGAGTATATGTATAGGCATAATAATAATCATCCCTCAAGCACATGATCTTCTGAGGTTTCACCAATTTCAGACGCTTTGCGAAGGAAAACCGCGTTAGCGTTTTCCTGGCTACAATAGAGACACGGGTGCTGCCTCTCATCTTCGTCCTTGATCCCCAAAATACCCCTTGCATTGACAATCAGTTGCCTGTTTGTTATAGGGGCAGGGTGTCCATTGAGTATTGCGACCACAGTTTTAGTAAAAGCACCACAAGGGTTCCTAATATCTCGACGGTCTTCAAAGGTTAACTCATCAGGCTCACCGCCGCTCAGTAGAATGCCCTGGTCACTTTTCAACGGCTCTGGATGCTGATGAGGTGGCAGCCAGAACATGATGCTGGCTTCCGATCCGAACAATTGGATCAAGTGTGCACCAATGTCCGGATCGTTTAGCCCTGTCCTAGACGACAAGTTTGCCATGTAGGACTCGTAAGGAATCATTTTAGGTTTATTCTTACCAACACATGTCTGATCTTTAGGAGGCTGAACATAGTACGGTTGCCCGACCTGCACCGGTTCTTGGTCAATAAGTCCACCACTGTTGCACGAATCAGCCATTATTGTGAATGTCGCCTTTTTGGGCAAACGACTCACGCAGTACCTGAAGTCCATACCTGAAAATTTTATAAGGCAAACAAATTTCTTTTCTTTAAGAATCAAACAATTAACGAAAACAGAAAACATTAAATTGATGATTAATTATGAAAATTACGAAAACTTACACGTAATGAGATTGTCATCGCAAGGGACGATGGCCGGCTTTGTCTCCCCATGATGACAAACAGTCATTCCATGGCCAGAAAAATAGAAGAACAGCCTGTCTCCCTCGTCAGCATCTTCGATCATTTTCTCCAGTTGTTTCTTGATATTCGCAGCAGTCGGCATATGTTTGCTGCCAGGCGTGTCCACCATAACCAAGATTCTTTTCGGGTCGAAATTAAATATTTTTATCAGTATGTTGTGCATATTATACGCATCGTTATGGCATCCTTTCAGCTCATTTTCCGGATCTGGATAGTTGTTGCAGCCCACTAGGATAGCCTTGATATTCGCCCCTTCAGCAGTCACGGGTTTTTTCTCTGCCTCCATCGGAAAATCGATCGAACGAACTTTGGTAGTTTTGAGAGAATTATTTAATAAGTGGGGTTAATTAATTACTTGTTATTGATTTGAGAAGTTGTGATCTAATTGATGATCACTTGCATCTATTTATAATGTGTCTGTGTTGTGCACAAATTAAACTTATCTTTTAACTAACAAAAATTAAGAAAATAATAAACACAATATCTTAAAGGTGGTGAAAAGAATATGCCTTGCTTAACTTTCTTAATTAATTTGTGAATGGTAAATGTTTATGACTTGCATTGCAATAATTTATATTGTGTTTCTCTTAACAGTAATTAATGCCTGGCTGGTTAATTAAGACAATTCTTCAACCTAAAGTTACTGAAAAGATTAAGGTATGTATGTATACCTAAAGTTACTGAAAAGATTAAGGTATGTATGTATATATGTAATAATATGCTTTTCCTTGCCAACTGAAATTTCTCAAAACGATTATTAGTTGCATTTCTGTTAGACTTCAAATTCAATTCATACCAAAATTTACAATATGACCAGCCAAATGTGTTTAGCATATTTAACTTTAATATATCTAATTGACTTTACAACTCATTAATTCACACTTCTGCTAAACTTTAATAAATCTAAGGAATTATTAACTGTACCAGTACATACTTTCTATAATATTATATGATTTCCATGTAATATCATTCCGCAAAAATAAATTATTTATATATTACATTATTCTAGGTATGCTAATTAATCTCTATCTCTCTCCTTTTATGTTTTCTTATAAATTAAATCCTAATTTTTCGCAGGAAAAAAAAAAACATAGTGTATTTAATTAAAGATACATGAATTTTACCAATTACCATTAGTGTCGTATTGGTTCTTTAGTTAATATATAATTTCAATTGAAAAAAATCTTTACATGTTGAGTGAAATTCTTTAATCTTTTCCATGTCTAAGTTGTATGCAATTTTAGTCAATATTTCATATTATATTTTTGAAAAATTGACATTACTTTCATCTAATACCCTTTACAACAAACAGTCCAATACTCGTTTTATTTTACAAGTATTTTGTATTAAAGGTATTTTTAAAATACAAGGCCCAATTGAATTGGGCCTTATCTAAAAAACTCTCTCAAATTTACTCGGGTTAATTGCATCAATTTATTTCTTTATTTTTTGTTCTTTCTCTTTTGGGCCAATCGTGAGGACCCCCTAACAGATGGTGTAATAACGAAAACACCCTCTGTGTTACGACCACCTCCGAAGTATTAGTCATCTAAGAAACATATAAACTAACTAATTGATCAGTTTGGATCAAGAAAAAAATAATTAGCAACTAATTACAAGTCCTCATTATATATGATCCTTCTATTTTGACTCAACATCCTTCTATTGAAAACGGGTCAAAGATGAGTAGAGAGAATAAGGGTCGGAATAAGGAAGCACACCTTGGAAAATGCCGAAATAAACCAAGTGCCATGGTTTGATCAATGGTACACAGTTGACTTGATCTTGAGAAGAATGAACGATACAGCTGCGTTATGAACAACTTGTAAAGCAAGAGGCCAACATTCATTCCCCTGCAAAATGTAGTTAGCGAGAAATTACAATTCAGAATCAACATGATATTTTACTAGTAAGAAAATTAAAAACAAACTGGAAATCACCTACTCAATTACGGTTCATCCATCAAAGCTCAGGCCTCAACTTCATCAATACGTGAAGTTGAGAATCGAGTCTCCTTACAAAAGTCTGGAGTTAGGAATCCATAGTCCTTCATCAGACATTCGAAAGTTACCTGAAATTATGAAAGCTTGAATTAGTAACCATAATATGAGTTACTCTATGAACGATATAGCTGCGTTATTCGCAGGGATTAATGACGGTCGATGCTGTATGATTGAGGAAACACAAACGCATCTACTAAACAATACAAATATGACAAACGGATTGTAAGACAAAATAAGCATATCAACCAGTTAAACATCATCTTAAGAGTAATCGAAATAAACCATCATCTTAATCTTAATCTTAGATTAGGGAGCACTCCCAATATCATCGTTTAATTATCACAACTCACGAGTTAAATGATTCTATCAACAATACACCAAAATCAAATTAGCATCGAATAAAAATTACACATATGGTAACATTGAATGCTAACTGTCATATACTAGTTGGAATAGCCAAGAAATGAACCACAGACAACATAAAAACACACAATGCTACTTCGAGTATAGCACAAACTAAACTGCAAGCATACGAAACAACAATACAAGGAGAAAGAAAAAACACGAAATTGAATGCAGCAGGAAATGATTGACCTTGACGAAGCTTCCGATGTAAAAACATTCTCAATTCCGGCAAACTGAAGGACCTTCTTACGTGTGCACACGCGCCGCCACAATTCCAGATCCACGACAGTAACAGATCCACAGTTGCCGGTCACATTAAACGGCGGCTTTCCGATATTGTTACCCCCAATATATATCACACTCTCCTCCTCCTCCTTGATTGGGATTGGGAGAGAGTGGAGGTAGATTTGCTCAATTGATTTGATCAAACGAGCGAGCTTCATACCTAACAAAGTGTTTTTTTCTTAGTAATCATACTTAACAAATTTAATAATAATAACAATTTGATAAATTAGCATTAATTTAATGGGGGATTAATGAAATGAATATTGCTATACATGAAATTAGGCCCATATTGATATTCTCACATATTGTTAAGTCCACTGGGCCGAAAGATTGTTACTACAATTTTCTTTTTGATGGGAAGGATTGTTACTACAATTGTGCACACAGTTGTTCATATATTTGTGCAAACTTAAAGAAAGTATTAACCAAATTTTAAATAGCATAGTTGTAAATTGCAATATTTTAATGGGTAACTTATGAAAAAACCCTGAACTTAGGCTAAATAATAAAAAACACCCCAAAAGCCCCCTGATGTTTGTTTCCATCTTACACCAACCCCTACAGTACGTGTGACTTTTCCCAGATTTTTTAGATTCCAGGGAATAAACTTTAAACAATTTCACATATTTCTTTTTATTTCTCACCTATTTAACAGAAGGTATAATACACTGTACACATTTTCTGTTAAAAAAATCGATCAACAGTTAATCAGAGGGGTGTTTTGGTTATTACGGATAGGTGGGGGTGTTTTTTTTGTTATTTAGCATAAGTTTAGGGGGATTTTTGTTATTACGAATAGATGGTGATGTTTTTCGTTATTTAGCATAAGTTCAGGGGGATTTTCATAATTTACCCTATTTTAAATAAGATATTTAAGTTGCTTCTTAATTATAAAAAAAATGTCAAATTACTAATATAGTGTGTTTTAAAACTTTGGAGTCCTGAGTAATTAATATTTCGAAAGGGGCCAAAACTGCAAATAATAAAATCTATTGGGACCAAAATGCAAGAGTAAATATAAATGTCCTCATAATATTAAGGGTAAACTTCAATTTACCTACCTGAACTATACCCAATGTATAGAATACCCCCCTGAACTTCAAAATGAATCAAGACGGCCCCTCCGTTTAAAATCCGTCTCCCCTGGCTGAGTTGGCACTTTGACTTTTGAATTTATAATTATTTTTATATTTTTTGCATTTGATTTGACATTTTCACCCCTTAATTTATTTTATTATCTATATGCGTGTGTGTATATATATACATTTCTCTATGTATATACTATATATACGTATTCATCTCTCTTCTACTTGCAGAAATTGATTATGGCAAACATTCATAACCTTGATTGAAGAACAATAATATTTTAATCAAAAAATAGATTGAAGAACAATAAATTTGTGTCTGGGTATTTTCATTTTTTTCATTCTCATGGCATGACTAATTGAAGGTGACAAACGGAGGAATCAAAACAACAAAAGCACCATTCCCATCCCTGGCTTTGTTTCTCCACACAGTCGAAAAGGGAAGGGGTGGATATGGACATCAATTAGGGCTTCAGATTTGGGGCTTTGTTGAAATCGCCCCATTTTTTTGCGTTTCTTCTTGAATTTCTTGACTATGGTGGTGGTGGTGGTGAAAGAAAGGTGGAGACGCCGTGGATTTAAGGGTAATTGTTTTTTACCCGTTTTTGTAGACGATTGCGCGGTAGATGGAGAACAACCCATTGATTCGAATCTTGAATGGTTGGAGACATGGAATTAATTAGGATTTTGGTGATTCATAGAGAGAGAGAGAGAGAGAGAGAGAATTGATGAAAAAAAGATAAAATTTTGGGTGTTAGCTAATCGGAAGAACAGAGAAGAAGGGAGGAGGAAGATGGTAAGGGCATATATGTAAAATCACTTTAAAACTAACGGTTTTACTCCAATACTTACGGTGTTACACAATTTAACGGTTTTTAACGTTGACCAATAATCAGGAGGGACCGTTTTGGTTCATTTTGAAGTTCAGGGGAGTATTCTACACGTAGGGTATAGTTCAGGTAGGTAAAATGAAGTTTACCCTAATATTAATATAAATGCATACAGATCATAGAGATGGAATTGGACACTACTTACATATTGAGCAGACTCTCTATATAAATGGTGGTATTCGGTAGTCAGTAGTCCGTGAGTTCGAATTGGTATATTAATATACTTGTCATTTAGAACGAAATTTATATATAATAAATTCATTAGTATTTTGTGTACAAATATTGCACTTTTTTTTTTTTTTTTTTTTTTTTTGTTTCTTCCTCAAATTAGGTGCGAGAGAGATAAGTTGAGATTAGTACAAGAGTAAATTAGTGGAGACAGATATATTAGATAACAAGATGAGCATAAAATTAAATGATGTTGATGATAAGTTCATAAAGCTAATCAAACAAAGATTAGTACATAATTAATGTACATATGGTGTGCCAAAGAACTGCTATATAAAATACAATCTTATATATAGCAACCATTATTGTACATCACTCATCACAAAGAAACATGGACAAGAAATTCCAGATTATATTGTCATCACCACCTTATTGCTACTCTTACTATTCATCTCTGGTAGTAATATAATGGACTCTCTCTAGATATCTCACACACACACACACACAGAGAGACACAACCATGTCTGAATTATATATTTGGAACTAATGTTGGATGATTGAAAACGTACAGGAGTGGTTGTGGAGGGCAGAAAAAACTGCACGCGCAGAATCATAACAAGGTGTTATCCAAAGGAGGAATGCGAGCCCCGTGCTTGTGCCATCTACTGCAGTACATTCGAGGATTTTGAATGCTACAACAATTCCACCACGGCCCTCACTCCTCACATCACCAGCTTCCGTCGTTGTATGTTCTAAGGATGCAGCAAGTTGTGCTCCAAGTGAATAATTTTCTCTTACTAATATTGCTAGTTATAAACTTTGCTATTTTCGATATTTAAACAATTATATTTCGATTCCATGTTAATCAATGCTCGTACATGTGTACACTGTAAAGGAATTTCAGCCCTTGCGGTGGTTTTGAGAAGGAAAACGGCATTCACGTTCTTTCTGGTGCAGTAGAGACACGGGTGTTGCCTCTCATTTTCTGCCTTGATCCCCAAAATACCCCTTGCCTTGATAACCAGTTGCTTGTTCGTTGTACGGGCTTGAGAATTCCGACCACAACCTTAGTAAAAGCACCACAGGGGGACCCATTTTCATCCCAATCTTCAACAGTGTTCTGATCAGGCTCGCAGCCGCTCAATAGAATGCCCTGGTCAGCTTTCAGCGGCTTCGGATGCTGATCTGGACGCAGCCTGAACAAGATGCTGGCTTCCGAATCGAACAATTTGACCAGGTGAACTCCAATGTCCGGACTGTTTAGCCCTGTCTTGGATGACAGTTGTGCCAGATAAGCATCGTAAGGGAGTATCCTAGGATGACAACTTTTCTGAGGACGTGGATGGTAGGGTAGCCCTACCTGCACAGGCTCTTGGTCTATAAGTCCGCCACTGCTGCACGAATCAGCCACTACGGTCAGTGCTGCATCTTTCGGTAAACGGTTCACATAATGCCTGAAGTCCATACCTGATTATACATTCAAAATCAAAATTGCAAACAACTATTAGAATTCGATCTATATATATATATATATCCAAACAAATTCAAGAACCTTGAGATATATATGATTGAGGAAACACAAACGGATCAACTAAGCAATACAAATATAACAACCTGATACAGGGATTGGTAGACAAAATAAGCATATATCAATCAGTTAAACATCATCTTAGAGAGTAATCGAAATAAACCATCATCTTAATCGTAGAGAGTAACCAAGGGAAAACATCATCTAAAATAGCAATCCCGATAAAACATCATCTTAATATTAAAGATAAATCAAGGCATGCAAAACATCATCTTCGAATATAACAAACAAATTAAATGAGCATCTAACAGACAAAAAGGAACCATTGACAACATAAGAAAAAGAATACGCAATGCTACTTCGAATATAACAAACACAATAGAAGGAGAATTAATTGAATGCAGCAGGAAATGATTGACCTTGATGAAGTTTCCGAGGTAAGAACATCCTCAATTCCGGCAAAGTGAAGAACATTCTTACGTGTGCACACGCGCCGCTACAATTCCAGATCCAGGAGGCGCCGGAACCATCCTCACGGTAACAGATCCACACTTGCCGGTCAGATTACACGGCGGCTTTCCGATATTGTTACCCCCAATATATATATATACACTCTTCTCCTCCTTGATTGGGATCGGGAGAGAGTGGAGGTTGATTCGCTCAAACAGAGTTTTTCATTCTTAGTACTAATCATACTTAACAAAGTTAATACTAATAAGAATTTGATAAATCAGCATTAATATAATGGGGATTAATGAAATGAATATTACTGTAGATGAAATTAGGCCCATATTCTCTCAATATTGGGTGTAAGAGAGATTGTTACTACAATTGTGTACGCAGTTGTTAGTATATTTACGCAGACATGACCAAAGTATTAACGAAATTTGAAATAGGATAGTTCTGAAATTACAAATAAAGAATAGTACCACAAATATTTTAAATAAGATATTTGAATTGCTTCTTAATATTTTGCAGTCTTGACTCTTGAGTAATTAATATTACGAAAGGGACCAAAATGCAAAATACATTGTGTGTAAACATATTCAACTTCTTTCAACTATATTGCATCTATTGTGTGTTGTATTGCATGTATCTATTGTACTGTGCACAAAGGGATGATTAGAGATAATTACAAGATCTAATAAGAAATTAAATTCATCCTATTCTGTAAATGATAAATAAAGTTAGAAGTTTATCAACAAGATTAGTACATAATTAATGCACATTAATTGTCTGCCACAAACAGAACTGCTATATATAAGGCATGCAATATCATATAACCACCATATATTGTATCACTCATCACAAACAAAAATAGACAACAGACTTCAGATGGTCACCTTGTTGATGTTGTTACTAATTTTCGCCTCTGGTACTGCTCTCTCTCTCTCTCTCACAAACACTATCGTACGTACAGGATTTGTTGTCTCCGATGTGGAGGGCAAGAAGAAGAAGTGTACGCAGTGGATTTCATCAAGGTGCATGGATGAGGAGATTTGTGAGCCGCGTGTTTGTGTTATAAGTTGCCAAGGCTCTGAGGATTTTCAATGTGGTGACAATGCCGGCAATCGCCTCGACAGATGTTATTGTCTCTATGGTTGCAACTCCACCTCCCCCGCCGCCCCTCCTCCACCACCTCCCCGTCGTGTCTTTCCTCGCCGTTGCATCCTCAACCACCTAGCTACCTAGCTAATATATATATCAGTTCTATTAATCAATTATATATGGTGCTTTTTTCGTTAATACATAAATTACAGGGTTTTTTGCAAAAACTACCCTTGTGTAATTTCTAATTGTTAAAAAAGTCCCTGTGTTAAAATAATTAGCACTGACCACCCTATGAAAGTTAGTCAAAGCTAATAAAGCCCCTATAAGCTGGAAGTGTGCTACACGCGCAAATTATGCGACTGGGGTTGTGGGGTTGACGTGAAAAGACAATATTATCCTTTAAATCACAAATTTCAAAAATTATAAATTCACCTAAAAAACTTTATAAGACCCAAAACAAAATTCTCAGAATTTTCAATTCAGTCCTTCATATTTTCTAAAAGGCCATCTCTCCAAATCAAAATGGGTGAGCCTTTGCCACTGTGTGATTTTTGTGGAGTGGTGAGAGCAATAGTGTACTGCCATTCAAACAAACCTCGTCTCTATTTGCACTGCGATGGATTTTTCTGTTCGTTCGTCTCTGGGCACTCCCGTCATCACTTGGGCATGGACGACGCCGATGAACCCATCCACCATTTCAGCTACAGAGCTCGTAATGTAAATTGGTCCGGCGAAGAGCGGCGTTGGATCTATTTGCGTTTTTGGATTTTTGTTTTCAATGTTTTCATCGAAGGTGAAATCTAGGCTGCCGCTGATATGTACTGGTGAAAGGAGAAGTTGTTTAGGGTGGGGTGGGGGGGCTGATGTGGTGGGTGGTGGTGGTACAGTGGTGGATGCTGGATGAGGAAGGAGGCTTGTTTTGGGTGGGGCGGAAGCCGGAAGTGGGAAGAAAATAGAACAATTTCCATATTTAATTTCGTTTAATTTTATTATATTGAATTAAAAAAAAAAATCTTATAAAATTAAAATGTTATTAAAAATTTATTGGGATAGTTTAGTCATTTCATTTAAGTCAACGTCAGATTTTGAAGTAAAGGGGCAGTGGGCTTTGTAAAGCACAACACAAGGAGGTTCTTGCTAATTTTTATAACACGGGGACTTTTTTAGCAATTCGAAATAACACAGGGGTTATGTGCAATTAACTCTAAATTACATGATGAGTGATATTCTTGTAATTATTATTGTCTCATAATAACAAATATATATATATATATGGTGACAGAGATATATATATATATATATATATATATATATATATATATATATATATATATATATATATATATATATATATATATATATATATATATATATATATATATATATATATATATATATATATATATATATATATATATATATATAACTAATTAGTCACTTTAAAAAGTGACAATTATTACATCGTCACCATATCAATTATTGTAAGTATATATTATATATATGTAAATATAAGTAATAATTAGTGGTGGATTGGTGGTAGTAGTAGTAGTAGTCGTAGATCGATCTTCATTTGCTGGTAGTTGCTTGCTCTTCTCGTCTTCTTCAGATGAATCTGATGCCCGGCCAGCCGCAGGTTTGTAGTTGAGGAACGGTGCGACGGCATTCTTCTGGCTGGAATAAAGGCACGCAAACTGCGGCAGGTCGTCACGGTTGGGATTCTCCAACACATTCCTTGCCATAAGGATCAGCTTCCGGTTGCTTATTTTTCGGGTTTCGGGTTTTTGCTTCATAAAAACTTGCGATAGAAACTTTGCAAAGGCCCCACAACACTGTCCCTTCTCATCAAGAGCTTCGAAAGTTCTCTTTCTTGGCTCGCACCCGCTTAGCAGTATCCCTTGATAGGGTGTCAAGGGAGTCGGGCGCTGGTTCGCTGGCAGCATTCGGAACATCAGACTGGCGTCAGATCCGAATAGGTTCACCATGTGGAGTCCAAGATCCGGGTTATTCTACCCGGATAGTGTTGACACTTTGTCTAACAACACTTCATATGAAACAAATCTGTTATTCATGTCGTCACCAGGAGCTGCAGCTTCGTCTTCATTGTCGTCGTCGGCGGCTTGATCTTGAAGGAGGATACGGGGCGGCCCCACCTGCACCGGCTCCTTGTCTATGAGACCCCTGCTGCAGCACGAGTCCGCCAAGATCGTGAATGAAGCCCCTTATGGAGACGATTCACGAGGTACCGAAAGTCCAAACCTATACATACACTCGTCGTGCATGTTAAATATATATACACAAGAAAATATATATAATGAAACCTAGGTAGTTAAGGTACTTGCCATCGCAAGGCGTGATGGATGGAGTTGACTTACGGCCCTTAACACGTGGTTCGACAATTCCTCCGTGACCTGCGAAGAAGAAAAACAAGTTATCTCCTGCTTTTGAGGCGTATATCATCTTCATGAGTTCGTCCTTGATGGTCTTTAACCTAACGTTACTACTCAAAACATTAAGCTATGCATATATATATATATATATATATATATATATATATATATATATATATATATTCTGTGTAATTAGGAAATTAATTTTTAATTTTTTCATGGTCTTGATAAACCTGCTCTAGGAACTAATTAATTTTGATAAAGAAAGGCACATCTTTTCACTTCGTAAGATTAAAGACATTTCAGTTTATTCTTTGCATATTTTTTGGTGAATGGAATACTTATTTTTCAAATAAAAAATTAGGAAAATGAATGAAAACTGTCATGAACGATATAAACTGAAAAGAATGAAGAAACCGAAGAAATGGTCCCTTTCTCATATACAAAAGCATTAGTGAAAGAGTAATTTTGAATGCACTTTTTCTTGGTTCAGCTAATATAATCTTCTTCTTTGAATTGGGCCTTGTCTAAAAAACTCTCTCAAACTTTAAAATTTGTGAAATCAGGGAACAATTGTGCTTTACTCGGGTCAATTATGGGCTCACTTTTGACGTTGTTGAGGGGATTTTAAGATTTTGAGAAGAAATTTTTTTTTTAACAAATGAAACATCATCTTAATCTTAGAGAATAATCAAGGCAAAACATCATCTAAAAGAGCAATGCCGATAAAACATCCTCTTAATCTTAAAGATAAAAAGAACAATAACAAATCGTATTAGAGAGCACTCCCAATATCATCGTTTAATTATCACGAGTTAAATGATTCTATCAACAATACACCGAATCAAATTAGCATCTAACAAAAATTATGGTACAATTAGATTGACAAGCTAATGAATGCTAACTGTCATATACTATTTGGATTAACCAGCAAAATGAACGATTGACAACATAAAAATTCACAATTCTACTTCAAATATAACACTAACTAAACTGCAATCATACGAAACACCAATCGAAGGAGAAAAAAAAAAAAAGAAGATGAAACTGAAAGCAGCAGGAAATGATTGACCTTAGTTTCCGCGGTAAGAAACATCCTGAATTCCGGCAAACTGAAGAACCTTGTTACGTGTGCACACGCGCCGCCACAATTCCAGATCCACGACAGTAACAGATCCACACTTACCGGTCACATTACACGGCACTGTGTGCGGATTTCCGATCTTGTTACCCCAGTCTCCTCCTCCTTGATTGGGATTGGGAGAGAGTGGAGGTTGATTTGCTCAATTGATTTGATCAAACGGCCAAGCTTCATACCTAACAAAGTGTTTTATTCTTAGTACTGATCATACTTTTTTTTTTTTTTTTTTTTTTTAGTAAATTCAAGTCGATTACAAGGTACCAACTCTCCCCTAATGAGGGTTGGTTAGTACTAATCATACTTAACAAAGTTAATAATAACAATTTCATAAATTAGCATTAATGTAATGGGGATTAATTAAATGAATATTGCTGTACATGAAATTAGGCCCATATTCTCACATATAGTTAAAAGTCCACTGGGCCGAGACACTGTCACTGCAATTTTGTACACAGTTGTTAATATATTTGAATTGCTTCGTAATATTTTGCAGTCTTGGAGTAATTAATATTTCACCAACCCTCATTAGCAGAGTTGGTACCTAGCCTTTACCAATAGGGTAACGGTCTAGGGTTCGAGTCCCCCCCTCCCCTACTTCCCCTTGTAATGGACTTGAATTTACTCAAAAAAAAAAAAAATAGTAATTAATATTTCAAAAGGGACCATATTGCAAATAATAAAATCTATTGGGACCAAAATGCAAGATCTATCGTATACAAACATATTCAACTTCTTTTTAATTATATTGCATCTATTGTGTGTTGTATTGCATGCATCTAATGTACTCATGTGCACAAAGGAATGATTAGAGATAATTACAAGATAATAAGAAGTTAAATTCATCCTATTCTGTTAATCATAAATACAGTTAGAAGTTTATCAACAAGATTAGTACATAATTAATGCACATTGTCTGCCGCCACACACAAAACTGCTATATAATTAGATGGGTGTGACAATGATGCCTTCAAAATTCACCAGATATGCTTACCACCCGATTCGGATACGAAACTGCTATATAATTAATGCACATTAGGTTTGGATTTTCGGTACCTCGTGAATCGTCTCCATAAGGGGGCTTCTTTCACGATCTTGGCGAACTCGTGCTTCAGCGGGGGTCTAATAGACAAGGAGCCGCTGCAGGTGGGGCCGCCCCGTATGATCCTCCTTCAAGATCAAGCCGACGACGACGACGACGACGATGAAGACGAAGCTGCAGCTCCTGGTGACGACATGAATAACAAATTTGTTTCATATGAAGTGTTGTTAGACAAAGTGTCAACACTATCCGGGTTGAATAACCCGGATCTTGGAGTCCATGGTGAACCTATTCGGATCTGACGCCAGTCTCATGTTCCGAATGCTGCCACCCAACCGGCATTATATAATGAAATGAAGAGGACATTATTTATGTCTATGATTTTATTCTAGCACGCACAATTAATTAATACATTTGTGTTAATTATGAGATAATAATAATTACACTTATAAAAAAAAAAGAGATAATAATAATTACAAGAATATCACTCATGTAATTCAATTAATTTGGATCTATTTATATTTTATAATGTTCCAACATCAATACATTCTTTAACCGAAAGTTATTACAAGAGACCATTCTAATCGACTTTACAGCACATTAATTCACACTTATGGTAAACTTTTAATCAAATCAATCCAAATATCATAATATGATTTTGTACTGTGTTTCTGTTAACAGTAATTAACACCTGACTGGTTAATTAAGACAATTCTTTAACCTAAAGTCACTGAAAAGATTAAGGTATGTATATATATGTAATAATATGCTTTTCCTTGCCAACTGAAATTTCTCAAAACGATTATTAGTTGCATAAATGTTAGACTTCATATTCAATTCATACCAAAATTTACAATCAAATATCTTTAGCATATTCAACTTTAATATATAACCAATTCCATATATGTATTCTGTGTAATTAGGAAATTAATTTTTAATTCAATTCATACTAAAATTTACTAAAAGGCCAACCAAATGTGTTTAGCATATTTAATTGATCACTTTACAACTCATTAGTTAACACTTCTGGACCTCTGGTAAACTAATAAATTCTAAGGAATTATTAACAATATATACAATTACGCGGGCTTCAAGCCCGGCCCATAATATATTTTTCTACACAAGGCCCGAATTGAATTGGGCAGAAGCCCGTTAAATCTGAAACATAATAATGCACAAATATGCATTAAGAAACGACAATTAATTAAGAAAGAGTTAAGAAAAATTAAAGGACATGATTAATTAGGCACTACATACACAACACAACAACGAGAGACATGGGATTTATAATTTTTTTTTTCTTTCTGAAATACACAATGATTTACATGTGAAATTACCATTGTACCCTTATTAAGTTCTAGGTGGGGTTGGATCGTGGTTATGGTTTGCTCCTGTCCCTGGATAATCTGCAAGTTCCATTTCCATTCTTCCTTCCACCAACTTCTCCATTTTCACATCCTTCAATAAATAGTTAATATAATTAAATAAAGAAAAACAATTTAATAATATTAATGTTTGATTTTACATCTGACGAATACAACTCGTAATTTTACACCATAAATCTAATTAGCTACATGGAGGTTTAAGATGCTACACCAAATTATATACTAAAGAACTTCAACTCATACTAAGCACACATATACGTGTGTGGAATTATATATATGTGCAGATAACGGTTAAAATTTATCCGATATATTTCATGGGTATAATATCAAATAAGCTCAATTATATATGGATTAGTATACCAAACAAAAAATTGGATAAGTACAAGAAAAGGGTGATTGACTCATACACCCACTGAGTAAGTGGACTTCTATAAGAGCACTATATTAAATAATAATATTTGTGAGTTTAATTGGTGTGCAAAGATAAGTGGACTTGTAAAGTCAAACTACATGTTATTTAGGTAGAAAGAAGCACTATTTTACATTATGATATTTGAGTTTTTTGGTGTCAAAAGATTCTCCTACCAAAATTATATTAAGTTATTATTCCACTTTGCATTTTTTAGTTTTTACAAAATTTACAATAGTTATTGAAAATATTAACATTGAATGACACATTTTCACTAATAATTTTTTTTTCTTCTTTTTGTTGAGGTGGCCATTGAACAAATAAAAGGTCTTGAATTCGAATCTCACAGTTATTCACTTCAAATATTTATAGTGTGAGGCGGTTTCAAATGTAATTCCTCTCAACTTGAGGGGTGTATTGCAGATTAAAAATATTTGCATTTGAAAAATATTAGTCTTATCATTCAATACTTCCACAGTTAGACTAGTTGATGCAAATATAGAGAATCTCGTGTACCAACCTACAAATTTGGTGCTATTTCTGAAAAATAATCTAGGAAATTAAGTTCTTAGCATAGCATTTAATATATACATAGATATGTAGAGAGAGAGAGAGAGAGAGAGAGAGAGAGAGAGAGAGAGAGAGAGAGAGAGAGAGAGAGAGAGTACCTGATAGGGAAAATAAGTAACTGAAACCTGGTTTTGGAATGTCTTAAGGCTCCCTGTTAGCCACAAATATCAATATATAACTACTTTCATACCATAATAAAATCTTACAAAAATGAAAAAGAAAATAAAAAAAAATTACATTTTCAGCAAAGTAAATAATTAAATGTACATTTATTTTTAGTTATAAGACTTACTAGATATGGGAACCGCGGAGGAGGTCACCATTAATAGGAAGAAATATAAGAGGAGCACCGCCACCAACTGCCGCTGCCGGAAAGCCATGAACCGCCGCCGCTGCCGCCGCTGAAGTTTCTTATTCCTTTGATGTTGTTGAGAAGAGATTATAATTTGCTACAAAAACTGTGGACCAAAATGGTGTTTTATAAAGGCACAAACTAATTATATTATTATTAGAAAAATCAGTTGAATTGAACCATAATATATATATAGAGAGAGGGCCAAGCCACCCCGGAAAAAAAGGTCAACTTATGATTTCTTTAAATTTCTGGTGAGTTCCCACTTGCCTAACTTTTTGTTAATAATTTTTATTCCATGGTGTTACTTTCAGGAACAAATTTTATTTAAATAAATATATATATAAAGAAATAAATTGGCATTTCCAAAGAAAGCAGAGGCATGGACTTATGCATGCTTGTCACGGGTGTGTGACTGTGTGTGTATATATATATATATATATATAGAAAAAATATAGTTGTTCGTCAATGGTGATATATCATGCCTACTGTGCTTGGGAATTTATTACATCATATCCCACTAATTAGAAGTCCTAAAAATATATTAATAAATTTGATTTTGCAATGATTCATAATTGTGTGTTTCTTATGGATTAGCATTCAGCAGCACTGTTATATTATACTCCCTTTCCTTCCATGATAAATCCCACTTTAGGAGAAGAACTTTTTTTTTTTTAATACAATTTCAATACTGTATTTATTAAATAAATTTCAATTTTATACTCATTAATTAACTCCTGTATTAAATACTCTATCTTCTCTCTTATTAATTACAACTGATCATTTTTCTCTAATTTTATGTAGACTGAAAAACGACACCTAGTGTGGAATAGAGGTAGTGCTATAAAAAAAAAATTAAAGTCGTCTATCTTTGATAAGACCAAAAACTTGTGTAAATGTTATAAGATTCATATACAATTTATAGAGTTTCTACTATTTCATTCTTTTCATTTTTGCCAAAAAAATAAAAATAAAAAAATGAGTATACGTTGTGCCTTTTAAAATAGGAAATTAATATGCTTAGGTCCCTCCTACCAAATTTAATTAGAACTAAATGACAACCTCAAACTAATTTTTTTAAATACATCCCTATTTTAAAATATAATATGACCCACATCCTAATTTTATTTTTTATCCCTAATTTACCCTTATAACCTAAATATAACATCTATTTACGTTCTCCAAATCAGATCTGTTTTTCTTTTTCAATTCTCTCTTTTCTCGCTTTTTTTCTCTCGCTCTCCAGCCTGCTCTCTCTTAATCTCTCTCTCTTTTCTCTCGCTCTCCTGCCTGCTCTCTCTTAATCTCTCTTTTCTCTCTCTCTCAATTATGGTGGGATGACTATGAGGATCTCGATGTGGGCGGCGGTGTTTCTGGTTGCTGGCGGCGACGTCGGCGATTCTGGTTACCGGCGGCGGCGGTTCTGGTTGTCGGCGGCGGCGAAGGTAGTTCTGGTAGTTGAGGGGCGGCGGTGCTTATGGTTGATGGTGATGGCAGTGATTTCCTCCGGCGGGAGTGATGCTTTTTGGTATGAATTTGATTTATGTAGGGTTTGGGGGAGAGGAAAGGCAAATTTAAGGGAAAATTAAGACGAAGAGGAAGAATGAAAAACGTTCAAAAACTATGGGCAGATTCGTAGATCTGTTTTGATTACAGATCTGTTTTGATTACGGTTGTGTACAGGGCTGGGGGAGTGCTCGGCGTTGGGGGGATGGGTGGGGTTTGTGGCATTTTTTTAGCGGCACGGTGATGGTGGCGTCGCAGATCTAGGGTTTGGTGGAGGAGATCTACGGTTTGGTGGGGCGGATCTAAGATTTTTCGATTTTATGTCTATAGATGTCTATGAGTATCTATGGGTATCTATGGTGTCTGGCGGCTAGGGTTCAAATGAGGAATTAGGGTTTTAAGAATACGTGACTACAGATTACTACAGTTTTCTACGAGTGTCTATACATGACTACGGACTACTACGGTTTCCTATGGATTTCTATAGAAGACTATGGCCGAAAAAAATTAAAAAAAATCATAATTTTCAATATTGTCTAGAAAAAAAGGCAAAAAATACTAAAATGCAAAAAAAAAATGTTCTACGAAAAAAATAATAACAAAAATGCAAGATGCAAAAACAAAAATGTTAAATGCAGAATGAAAAAATGATAAATACCGTTTAAATATTACTTGGTGCATATTTCATTTTTTGTATGTGGGGGCATTTTTGGAATAAAATTTATAAAGGATGTGAAGCAAATGTTTAGTTAGACTTGTCATTTAGTTCTAATAAGTTTTGTCACCAGGGACCTATATGTTAAAGCCCCTTTAAAATATTCTTACTCGGAAATTTATCAAAAGAATACAAAACGCGTTTGGGTTTAATGCTGTGGGCTCAAATGTCTTTATCCATTATTTTGGGCCTCAAATAAGTCCACGAAGAAAAACTAAACAGCCCATTTTAGTTATAATGTTGAATCGAATCTCGTACGTGAAACGAAGAGAATCTAAAACGGAATGTAGATCATAGAATGTGCAATATTCATATTAAGTCAACGGAAGACTTATTTATGTAGTAAAATAACATTTGACTTTTAATATGCATATGGACACGTATACACCACAAGAATCAAGATGAAATAACACTTCTTCATCGGTGCTTTAATTTTCCCACCTCTACGACTTAAATACATTTTTTTTATTGCCCAAGGTCAAATCCCCTCGTAACTATATATGGTATATTCACAACTTATTTCAAAATTAATTTATTAATTAATTTTATTACCACTTATATAAGTTTCTTGGGGAAGATTGTGTGTGTATATAACTTGTGGTTCAAACAACATGTAATCGTGTATTTGACTGCACAATATTGTGCGCACCACCTGTCAATTCAGGAGGTTTAAGTTGAGATCTTATTAATTAATTGAAAACTCTTTTTAATTACTTACTTATACACAAATTAAAAATTACCCCTCTTTTTGTTAGAACATATAAATATATTAATTATTTTCCATGAGTAATTCTATAATTTCTTTCATTACCCTCCGATCCTCTCACTAGCAGAATCAGAATTTTATGTTCGCGGGACCGAATGCATTGAAAATTTTATAATGCTAATTATACACAATTTTTTTAAAAAGTGGGGATTCGAGAATTGTTATCGGGGCCATAGCCCCCTCTGGTCCTATACTGGCTATGCCACTGCATCCTCTGATATTTTAAATACAAGATTTATACCGAACTTTTTTAT